AACACTATCCTTCTCGTAAGCTTGTTCGATGTGCTGCCACTTGGCAATTTTATCACCAAAGTGAAAATCGTAGGTCATTAAATTATTTCTGACACATTTAAATAAATATGGAGCGTCAAAAATGTAGTGTATCTTTTTGCCATCATTTTCAAATCAGGTTTTTCTGTAGAGATATTTCTTGCTTTCGATGCACTCAAAAATCTGAACCTAAATTTATACTATAGCCCGTACATCTAATCCAATTTCTTATAGTCGTAATGACTATTCAACCATGAAAGTAATTCTGGATAATTTTTACACTCCGCTGTCAAAGCATAACCTATTGGTTGTATCCATTTTACAAAAATGCCATGAGCCATAACCACAACAGCGTTTTTAGCGTTATTAGATGTCACTACATTATCTATTTCATGTAAGCCGTGTATTTTATCTTTACTGGCTCCATAATAAAGATTGGTTTTTAACGACATGGCATTCACACATATGGTACATATTTTTTCTTTGTCATTCATTTTTGACGACGTTTTTTGTTTTAAATCATTTAAGAAATGGTTATTAATACCTGTAGAAATTGGGATCTGCATCCTCTGAATTGTTCTTACTGATGGTAAATTAAGAAACTGCTGTAGACATCGGTAGAGCTTGTCTAAACTGAAATGACGTGCCCCACTACTTAATTAGTTGATTTGGATGTGTGAGTGTAAATATTAATAACGACGCTTCATCTGTGTTTGAGCGTCGACTGCTCCGCGAACTATGATCTGTATGCCTACGTGACGGTCGACTAGTCGCGTGATAAATCCGACAACGCTCTCCTTAGGGAGCAGCGTTGGGGCATTGTATGAAACAAAACGTCCGCTCTCTGCCACCTTCAGGCAATTATGACAAGTTGGACAAAAAAATCCAAGAAAATCCGCTTCTTAGCAAATACGGTCTACAAAGAAATTGAAGTTAAATTATTTAATTATGATGGTATTTCTTCTATTTGTTAATTAATGGTTTAAAATATATTGTTTTTATTTTGTAATTATGTAGATTAATTAAACCAGATTGATATTCTTTCGAAATATTTATTTTACAAATTAGTATAATTACTATAATAATATGCATGTAAATTATGTAAAGTATCACTATTCACTCATCTCCATAGATTCACTTTCATCTGAATCAGAGTCATTAACAGAAATAATAAATTCAAAGTCCATGTCAAAATATTGCAAATACTGTTTTTCTGTGTCTTCAACATGCCGACATGCATTTGCCCACATAGTACTATCAATCATTTCGAGTCGTTCATTTATAAGTGACATAATGGATGTAAAATTTTGTGAAACATTTTTATTAGCCACGTAGTTTTTTAATATCCCCCATATATTTTCAATTGGATTTAGTTCCGGGTGATAAGGTGGTAGTCGTAGAATTTCAAACCCTTTTGATTGAATCAGTTCGTCAATAACGAACTTTTTTAAAATAAGATCGTACAGTTCAATTTTTTTCATTGATTCATCAAACTGAATATTTTTTTCTGCAAGCCACGTTTGCATGACTTGCTTATTTGAGTTGGAGTTGGGAGCTTTTTCTAATAAAGAAGTAGTAAGAAGCGTTATCCACAACGATGACAGCCTTTACATTGGGCAGTAATTGTGTGGTGAGCCATTTCTTATAATTATCCAGATTCATGTTGTCGTGATAATCTCCACTTGTGTAGTTTGCTTTATACACCAAACTAGCATTTGGAACAAATCCTTCACATCCACCAGCGTAAACAATTATGACCCGAGTACCTTTCGACAACTTTTTTTGCACTGCTGATACTCCTTTGACTGGTTTCCAGCACATGTTTTGCAGATGTGTTGTATGAACATAACTTTCATCTGTGTATACGATATAGCGGCCCTCGTCACGATATTTTTTTTAATTGCCTCAAATATTGAAAGCGTAACATTTGGATATCATGCTTTTCTACTAAAGCTTTACGGTTGTCATCTATTTTGGACCACTCGTAGCCCGATTCCTTCAAAATGATACGCAGAGTTTCTATACAACCGTTAAAACCAATTCTTTCTGTTAATACTTGTTTCAGCTTTCTTAACGTTAGTAATTCATTAAATTCTGTATGAAATGTCGCTATCGTTCTGCGAAGTATACCCATATCAAAATCATCCAGGTTAGACTTGGTACGCGCTTCCTTTTTGGTTTTGAGGGCGATCTAAAAATTTTTTGTGACGTATCATTTGATGTACTAGCTTGCTTCTCTTCTTTCAAAATTCGTGTAATCGTAGATTCACTAACACCAACGGCTTGAGCAGTTCGCCATCTAGCGTCAGATAGTTTTTCCACTCCATTTTCCGCTTCATATTTCATTCTGCGGTACACTTTCGCAGTAATTTCTTTTGCCTGTAAAATGTATGCATGTAAACCACCATAAAAACGATGTATGATTAAATAAGATTTTAAGCAATAACGTATTATTTTACTTACTTGACTCCGTAAATGTTTTTGGTCGACATGCTGACGGTACTTTTACAATCAAACGACGCGTGCTCCTACGCTTGAGTCTCACCGACAACCGAATGACCAATTACAATGGCATTTGTATATGTATTGCGTCCATATTTTAAATTTTGTTGTGTGCGTTAATGCGATAGTGGGGCGCGTCATTTCAGCTTAGACGATCTATACGCGTGGGTGGTATAAAATATATATGCAGTGCAAAGAATTTAAATTCCATTGTGTACCTTTGAATTTGCCAATTAGGTAATTAAATATGGCATTTAACAATATTTGACATTGAAATTGAAATTGGTCACACAATTTCAAAAATTTTTCTTTTGTGACAGGTATAGCCTCAGCAGCTATGACTATAACGTCGTGCTGTTCTAATATTTTTAATATTTTTAATTTCTTATTAGAATTTTTTAATTCCATTTTAAGTTTTCTTTTTCTTGGCGTGGTAGTTAAAGAAAGCGGTGCTTGCGTTATTGAATTGAACCGAAGTTGGTTTGATTTGATGAGTTCCTCATTTCGCACATTTGAGTTGAATAGTCTTGTAAGTATAAAAAAATCTTTGTAATAATGTCATGTGCATATGGATTTGCTGGTTCATAAAGTTGTTGTATGGCATCCAGGAATTTTAAAAATATTATATTATACTTCTTATCCTATTATTATAATTTTCTTTGTCCATATGTTATAATGGGTATGGCTCAAAAATCAAATTGTGTTTATTTTTCTTGCGATACATTTTTTCAGCTTTCAAAGGAGTACCTGTGTATGGTTTTCTTAGAACATGGAACTGCTGTAGTTTTTGAGTGCATACTTCTTGAAGCAAAATAATTTTTTGATGAACTATGTTCTCAATGCCTAGTAAAAGGACTGCAACATGTTTGCATACTGCATTTATTCCATTTCCAGCTAGGCATTAACAATGTGATGCATCAGTGTTTCCATTAGAGATAGCGCGCACGGGAAACTTTTGTCACCGTTACATTAAAGTTTTTGTCATTGTCACGTCACCTTTCCAAAGTGGAGTGCGCTCACGAAAGCTGACAGTGACAAAACGTTTTACAAAATCGAAGCGTCATTTTCCGATATGGATTTCGAAGAGACGGTCATTGTTTATGAACTCATCAGACTCAGGAGAAAAAGAAAGCGAAAAGAATACTGGCTACACCCCCTTTGGAGTGACAGGCTACTAAGTGGAAAGTTTTATACTATGTTTTATAAACTTCGAGAACATCCAAATAATTTTTTTAAATATTTCCGTTAGTAGTTTTGATGAATTACTTCGCACTTTAGGACCTGCATTATTGTACCAAAATACGGACATGAGATTGTCTGTCCCAACTGAAGAAAGACTCGCTGTAACTTTGAGGTAAGTACAAAAAATAAGTAATTTTAAATGATTTTTATTTCAATCAAAATAACTACAATGTGATTTTAATTTAAAAAGTAAGGATTTATTTAATTATCTTCCGTGGTGATATTGTAGTCCTGGCAAATATCATAAACTTCGGAATCTTCATTAGAGTCAGCTGCAAACTGTGAAATATATGATTGAATAGTACTCGAGGCTGAAGAGTCTTCATAAAGTATCGGGTTTTGATTACGAGCAGATGAATTCGACTGAGTGTACGTAGATGTAGCCAAGTGAATATTGTTTTGGGGACTTGGCGGTGGTGGTAGTAAAGAGACAGAATAGTTTGAATTGATTTGTAAATTTTGAGGACTTGTAGATGGAATACTTTGGATTGGAGAAGGGGATAAAGTCGGCTTTGTAGCTATGTGAAGTTGATTTTGGGGACTCGACCGAGGTAGAGACACAGAATACTTGGGTAGGATTCGGAAATTTTGAGGACTTGTAGATGGAATACTTTGGATTGGAGAAGGGGACAAAGTCGGCTTTGTAGCTATGTGAAGTTGATTTTGAGGACTCGACCGAGTTAGAGACACAGAATACTTGGGTAGGATTCGGAAAATTTGAGGACTTCCTATGTAACTTGGAGACGAACTAGACGTAGGAGAATAATATCGTTAGGCGCTGTGGGAGTTTTGTTTTTGCAGGTCTTGAAAAATGTGTAATATTATAATCTGTACTTCTAGTTTATTCTCCTCCGGGAGTGCTTTTAAAAATGGCACCAAGGATAGCGCAAAATGCTTTTCCCTGTCGTCGTTATCAAAATTGCTTTTATTATTCCTCATAGCCTCAATAAACTTGTTATCATCAACCCTTTTTTATCTAAAATGTCTAGAAGCCTTTCTTCGTAAGGTATTGTATTCCTATTTTTCTTTCGGGAATATTGGCTGTGATACATCTTCATCAGCATCCCTACTATCTTCTTCGCAACAAATGTCCTCTGCGTTGCCGGAGGTCTCTCGAGTGTCCATGCTTGGGACAAGGAATAAAAGTTGCTCAAAATGTTTGTACTTTCTTCTTTTTGTAGCGGCCTGACCAGATTTGGTGGATTTTTGATCGCGTAGCTCACGTGAAAAACAAGCTCTTAAATTTTTCCACCTTTTCTGTACAAGTTTACCTGGAAATAAAGTTCAAATAGTATAAAAAAATTAATTTAGCAAAGAAATTATTAATATGTATTTATGAGTTAAGTTTTTATGTATATTTGTTTATATGTAATATTTCACATATCTTGCGACTGGCGCCAGTTTCTACAGTATATCATTTGAATATTTGTTAGGTGCTACCACAGTACGAGAAATTGTAAAGTCTACATGTACCGAAATATGGAATTTACATCCACAATACATGCCTGAAAAGACTGAAGAAGATTGGCTGATTATTTCTAATCAGTTTTACCAACGGACAAATTTTCCTAATATAATTGGCGCAATTGATGGAAAGCATATTAGGATGATACAGCCGGAAAATACTGGTTCAAGTTGTTTTAATTACAAAAAGTACTTTTCCACAGTTCTTATCATGGTTCTTATGGCATGGGTAGATGCCGATTATAAATTTGTATATATAGACGTTGGTGCTAAAGGAGCAGCAAGCGACTCCGGTGTATTTCAAAATTCTAGCATGGGCAAAAGATTGCAGCAAAATCAATTAAATATACCACAAGATCGTATTTTGCCTAATGATGAAAATGGGAAAAAAATACCATTTTGTCTGGTAGCAGATGAGGCATTTGGTTTGTCACGGCACATTTTGCGACCGTATGAAAGAAAATCATTATCTACTGTGAAAAAATTTACAACTATCGTCACACGAGGGCACGACGTATGGTTGAATGCACTTTCGGTATACTTAGTAATAAATGGCGAATTTTGCACAGGCCTCTTGATGTCAGTCTCGATTTTGCTGACATAATAGTAAAAACGTGTTGCATTTTACACAATTTTGTACGGTGCAGAGATGGCATTCAATTTATTGATACTGTTTATGAACGTCCATTAAAAAGTTTTACAACAAATCCGTCTGATAAATCATATCAGCAGCAAATATACGTAATTATAATGTTTCTTACTTTACTTCACCGCAAGGGGCTGTATCATGGCAATATGACAAAATTTAAAATTTAATCTTATTGTAGTCAAGTGCACGTCAAATAATTCCAAACATTTATTGGTAACTTTATTGGTCTTCTAAGCCAAGTAGGCACTCTTACAAGATGTAATTTTGATTGTATCTACCTACCAACAAGTTCGATAGTGGGGGTAATGCCCCAGAGTGATGACTAAAATACTAAACAACTATATGTACGTAATACCTACTTACTATTTCCGATGTACAACTTTTGTTTTAGCTATGTATAATACATGGTGGCATCGGGGTCGTGTAAACAAGAATTAGACTTGCCTTATTGCCTAAAAAATAATTGAAAACTATTTTTATACCTGAAATCGAAATCATTTACCGAGTTAGAAAAAAATTAAATTTGAATCACGATCCCGATACCACCCTGAATAATAATTGTATGACATAAATGTAATACAATGACAAGTAATATACTTACTAGAAATAAAAATATGAAACTTACCAGCTTCTGTTTTTTCTTGTTGCGACAAGTTACTCCAAGGATAGAAAATATTATTCTACTTATTTCTTCCCATGCCTTAATTTTGAAATTAATATCTGAATACTCTTTCAACTTTTTGTCATAAAGAGCTGGTCTCTTTTCCACTTCTTCTATAAGGACATCATTGTCAATATCATCATCACGAATTACGTTTTGCGTATTTGATGATGCCATTTTGCGTGCGCCAAACAGTCGAAATGCAAATGCGAACGAACGACGCACGTGGAGTGACAATTTTGTCACCCGTGCGCGCGCTGCTATGAAAACCTAACGGCACGGTGGCAGTTTCGTCACGGGCTTGTTCGCCGGTCGGCGTACAGAAGTGTCACCCAATTGTCACGTCGTAACATGCGCGCATCTCCATACATATCCACAGACTTGATAAGAGTGACGAAACAGTCACGGTGACAAAAGTTACCCGTGCGCGCTATCTCTTATTGTTTAACTTTACATCAACTTCGTACTGCAGATTCTTCATTGTTTTTCTGCAGTAAACTTTTATAAAAGTATTTTGACCAACATCAGAATATCTTGCTATCAGTAAGTGCCGTGTCACCGATAGCTGCGTAGCCGTTGTTATTTTTCTCTGTGCTAGAAATCGAAGTATGGAAAGAAATTTAATTATTGAAAGATTTAACTTTATCTTTACTTATTAAAATAGAATAATGCCTTAACATTATCTTGTCCAAATCTGGCAGAATCGTATGACTGTTTATATCTCGGTAGGATTCTTTTGACGGTAGCTCCATTTTGGGTTTGTCGTCATTTACGCATTCAGATTCACCAAAATTAAAATTTTGGTCATAAAGCTCTAACCTGAAAAAACCACGAAATCTTTACGTTTACAAAGTCATTAGGTTTAACCTTCGGAAGTAAACACTTTTTATGCATACATAAATGGCAACAGGGGTCACCCACCACCCAGGATTTTAAAATAGTAAACGGCGAGATGTAACATAATCAGATTTATTAATTATTATTATTAATTGCTATTACAATGAAAAGTATAAAACTAGTATTAATCATGGCACATATAATTTGGTATTATTATTACTTTGGTTAAATGTACTTTAAATAAATATAAATACAGGCGGAAGGCATTTTGTGCAAAAAATTTTAACTTTTTTATCTCGTTTTCTTGGCCATATTGCGCATCTTGCTTGTTTCTGTAACTTTACAGGGGGCTCACCATCAGCTGGGTCCTGATTCATATTTAGAATTCACGTAAAGTGGCTTCTAATTCGCGTGGCAAATTTGTACTCAAACGACGTGTCATTTGCGGTTCGGCCAATTGTAAAGCTAATTTCTTTAAATAACCGTTCCGGGACAGTTGGCAGGAGTGTTCGGATGTTTAGCGTCAATATAAAGCACCATAGAATTGATACCAGCTTGATCCAGCATGCCATAGAGTATCGAAGCGGCCAGCGTCTGGTACTTCTACTCGTACTGTTCTAATCCCTGGATGTATCAAATGTTTCCGAATTTAATAAAACATGGTAGATTTATTTAAAATGGTATTAAAATGTAGGGAAAATTATTAAATAAATATTTCATGTGGTTTATTGGGTTTTCCAGATGTCCTACCTATAGGACATTCGGTGTCAATTAATTACTTTAACTTTATATGTATAGTACTTTCAGGGTAAATTTAAACACATTACAAAACCCTGAAACATATTTTAATTTAAAAGAAGTTCTTACATCATCAGTCTGATAGCATCTTATGTACCGGATGTCCAGTAGGGTTGTTTCGCCTTGATAGACCATCATGTCCAATACCAGCCCATCCGGTTTTGCTGCAATAACCTACCCACGGGGTTGGGTTTATTTGGACAATATTGTTTTATTCCTCATGTCCCAGTAAACGGGACAACCGTGTAAAATTATTTGAAGGAGGGATGGACATTTCATGGCTTGTTCTTTTTCGTTTCATCAGTGACGATATCGCACACAACTTTTAGTCCTGTTCTGATGGTATAAAATCTGTCCCGGATCATTGTATCCGCAATCAAATTAATTTTTCACTTGCGATATCAATAAATATCTATCATGGGATAGTTATCAGTAGTTATAACAAATGAAATTGTAAAGAATACCTTCAGCTCCTCTATAGTCAAATCCATACACTTTCCTTTTTTTAGCACGTTTGTCTATTTAGTAGCCATAACGATAGTCTCCAAAAAAAAAAGTTTAGTATTGTTGGAATAGGATACGCTTTAGTTTCAAGTATGCTTTACGTGCGTACTACTGAAACGTGTGCAATAATGAATTGTAATCTTCCCTTCACGCTTTACACAGGCTTAGGACTGTCAACGTACTACATTGTAGATTGTAGATTGTTGACGTATTTAAAAGCTTTCAATTCACATTTATTTCAATATAATCAAATTTTGTCTTTTTGTTTTTTCTGTGTTTTTTTTTTATAATTTTGGTTTTTTTAATCACTTATCTACAGTTATTGATTTATTTATATATGCGGAGAAAATCCGACTTAAGAATTTTGGTTTAAAAACATTAATTGTTGCACTTTTCGAGTTCCCAGCCTCGTTCTCCTGTCACACTCGTGGCCATTGCATTCAACTTGGTGAGTGCCATAGCATACAAATGCGGATATACATCTTTCCGCTTTTTCCACCACTCTAGTGGTGACATATTCTTACATGGCAACAAAACTTTATTGTCTTTTCGGATATATTCAACTTTGTTGAATAAGTATATCCGATAGCTGCTGCTCTTCTTTTTGAATTTGGAAACTATTTCGATCCTCTTTATTTATAATAGACGTAATAAGTTCTATAATTCTTTGTTTTGTAATGTTAGCTACATATTGATTTTCAAAATACAGTTCGAATCTAGGATCCAGGAACATACAGGTAGTAAATGTGCCACTTTTATCTAAATTTATAAATCTATTTTTTATAGCGGCCAGTAAGTCTTGTCATAATGTTTGGGCGGTGTCGAGGTATGCACTTGTGTTAATATTTTCCAGAGGTTTGACTAATCCTGTCGTTATAAGTTTTATATACTTCCTGTTACATATGTCTGAGCACTTACTTCCCTTGTAACTTCTTCACAGGGTTTTTATAATATTGCAAATGTGTTCACAAAGTTCCCAATCAACTGCAGTTAAGGACATATTATTAGCGTTTAAGTTAGGAGCGCACTATTAACCTCTTCTTTTAATTCTGCAAACCTCCGCAACATGTAGAATTCCACCTCGTGCTTACACATTGCATAGGTCTTTTAAGAGCTTTTCCGGCCTGTTCCTGGTATTTTTTTAATTTTTTCCAGGCTTGAGCAGATCTTTTGAAGTAAGCAACAGTAGTTTTTACTTTATCAATCAAATTAACCAAATCTTGTGTCGCAAACAATCCCTCTTGGACGGCAAAATTTAGGGTGTGTGCGTAGCAACCAAAATGCTTTCAGCCTAAATCTATCATGGCTTTTTTAATATTGGCGCCGTTATCCGACACTGCTAACAAAAATTTTCCGGACACTTTCCATTCCTTCGTTATTCGTAACAGTTCCGTAGTTAAGTTGGCACTGGTATGTGATCCCTCTAAAAGCACAATCTAACAAGATGGATTTTAGGATAACGTCATTTTTATTGATATAATGACCAGTAATACCCATAGTCGTTTGTATTTGATGTCCATATATCCGCTGTGATAGAAATCGATTCCACATCATTTGCGACTTCCGTCATTTTTGATGTTCGCAAACTTTCGTAGCGACTTGGCAATTCTTTATAAGTGCTGAATAAATATAATTTAATATCAACATTTTGTGTTGTTAAGTTTTATTTTCACTGTCCATCTTCTTCACAATTGCCTTTCGTTGGGCTATTTAATTATGAAAATATGGTACTTTTCAAGGCAGATACAAATTGGCGCACACTTGAGTTGACGTTAGAACCACAGTTGGGTCTTATAGCCCCAAATAAATTTTCTAGAGGGTCCTTGGTTGTAATAGAATGAACGACTTCGGGTTTTTTGTCAAATTGGAATACAAACGTTTTATAATACCATTTATAGTCCATAACCAACCCATTATAGAAGGTGGCGCTCTCTGGCATCCTATCAATGTTAAAGTTTTAAAGAATCTTCTCATTTCGTTGAAAAATTTTACCATTTTTTAAATTAGGTGTGCTACTATTGAGTAGGTCAAATAGTTTGTCCCTTTTAGAAACTAACTCAGCTGTTGCAAGAACTTTAGTAGTGAGGACTGAAAAAAGATAACACAAGTACATAAATATTTGAAATATTAACGAAACAATCATGGTTATTGATAGCAGACAAGATCTAAATATTATACCGTCTGATATTTTTGAATATAAGCCTGCAGCAACTGAGTGGCGAAACAACTGTGCAGCCAAATTTACGCACATTTTTTGTTTTGGGTTTAGGTTGTTGTGGAGCTTAGATGCGAAAACGTAAATTTCATTTTTATGATCTAATTCGTAAAATTCTTGAATGTGACTCCATTTAGCTGTACCTGAAAAAAACAACAATTTAAAAACATTTCAAATTATTTAATTTATAAAATACATACACACTTGAAGAATTTATTAGGACCTTAGGGCGCTTTTAGTGTCACGCGGATTTGCTCACGCACGCGGGATTGGACCGCATGCGTAAAATTTCACGCTGCGGATCATACGCAGCATGAGTTTCAGTTTTCTACGGGCTGCGTAACGGTATAGACGTGTTCAAAAATGATCAATGTCAGAAGAATATGTGTCGCTTACATACTTTACAAACGACGAAACAAGAAGACAAGAGTACATGTTGATCCCTTTCTTGAAAATAGGCTTCTTGCTGGGGCGTTTGTTACACGCTTTGGAAAACTACAAAATAATGAACGTAAATTTAAAAATTACTTTCGAATGTCCATTCGTTCTTTTGATGAACTGTTGTGTAAAATTGAGAATAAGCTACAAAAAAGCAGTTTACGAAGGATTACAATACAACCGATTGAGAGGCTCGCTATTACATTAAGGTAAGTTTTAAATTTTAAATATTTAATTTCCTGCTATGATTTAGTGGAAAGGGATTTGAACAGGTAGGATAAACGTTTTTTGACTTCAAATTACTGTCATGTGTAAATTTACATGTGCAAAAAAAAATTTTGTCATGTACTCTGAAATTTCATTGTTCATAATTTCATTCAATTTC